CGCACACCATCTTCTCTACCACCACCAAACCTCACTACAGAGATCGCCCTTGTAATCACACACAGAAAGCAATCTGCCTCAACACCACCTGGGGATGACTCTGCTTGGTACCAGAACATATTTCAGAAGTTTATCATCTGCACTTAGAGTTTTAAAATTCCCCATTCTGCTTCTGTTTTTGATTCACATCTCATCAATCAGATCAGGCTGGCCAAGAGCGATACCTACCTCCACTTCCCAAGTACTAGGTAAAGTCCCCTGTTCTATGGGGAAAATATCTTTAGTTTACAGAGGAAAGTCTTAATTAAAACAATCCTTTCATTATTTTTAGTGAATAAGATACAGATTGAAAAATAATCTGATTCTCACACAGATCTAAAATATATTTAAAGCTATTATGGTTTTAAACAATGTTAAATATTTTTAAAACTGCATTAATAGAAATTAAAAGTTTACCATATGTCGACACTTACTTTATTAATCAAACGTAAGCCTTACAAGGCATTTGAACAGAAACTTTATGGTTAAGGACTAGAAAAGGTATAGACTCACTGACAAATTCTGCCACGAGTACAGCACATGCCTATGCATTGATGAGATCTGTATCTCTCTTCTCATTGAAGCCCAGCGTGTTACGTTTAACCACCATAACCTTTGTGCATTAGGGGTGATACACCAAACGAACAATAAAGACCGTGTGTGTGTGTGTGTGTGTGTGTGTGTGTGTGTGTGTGTGTGTGTGTTGTAAAGAATGAACTGCATTTAAGGGACAGATACAGTCAATACCAGGTCACACACAGACCTATGTTTCGGAATCGGAATCCAAGACCAGATACCAGGAGCTATCACCCGCTGTGTTGAGGGAACCCATCCATGGCTTCTGGCCTGCCCCTTCCCAGTTTCATTATCTTTCCCACACTCCAAATCAAATAAGCCAGGCCCCACCCCACCGCATCTCCGCATCTCCACTTCTTCCCATTCACAAGGCAAAGATGCAGTCTCTCGAGGGCCCATATATCCTAGCACTTGTTATACAGGACAACTCCTCTCGGGAAATGCCTGAACCTAACTTTAACTTACAGACAGAACTAGGCCTCTGATGTCTAAGGAGCACGTCATTCCCAGGGAGTCACTTAACTTAGCTTCCCTTTAAGTTTCGGCAGTTGGTCACATTGTTCTATGAAGGCTTCTGGCTATTCCAACTCTATAGAGCTGCCACACAACTGTGACCTTGATCCTGGTTCTGGCCACCTTCAAACTCGGGGTTTAAACCCCTTCTCCCTGGTCCCAAAAAGTGCAGGCCCTTGTGACTAGACCCTGTTTATCCTCTACTGTTTAGAGCCTAAAAACACAATCTATTCAACAGACTACTTTGCAAATGTATTCATGTGTATACATAGTTCTTATCGGAGGCAATGGATAAAAGCAGATAACAGAATCGAAGAATCATAAGTAAAAAAATTTGAGATAAGGAACGAAGTTCCAGATGGAAGCATCAGAAATGACTTCCCAAATATGATGGTTTCCATGAAAAGATCTGGAGGATAAAGACTTGACGCTTGTAGTCCCATTTGCTTTTCATGTTAGCTGAATGTGAGCTGATAAAAATAAAACGGTAACAAGAGTCCTAATATCTATAAAACATTTCATGCCAAAGACTCAATATGAGTAAGAATCTCTTTAAGATATAATCAGCTGTTAACATGGTTAAACCTGAAGAGGTAAGACACTAAGAACTGGCAAAGCAAGCTGACTCTAGAACTGGGGGAGACTGCTCATACTAAGACAACAGCAAACCCATTTGACAAACTCTAGAGAGTAACCAGACTCGTTTTTTCTTTCATGATCCTTTCTTCGTCTTTCAACTTCAGTTTTGTAACCTCGTATCTTCAATAATGTCTTGTTAAAAACCACAAGAAAAGCAGTTACCTGAATTCTCAGGTGGTTCAAAGAGCAGCGTAGGTTGCTTCCTAATACTAAACCCCTCTCCTTGGAAAACACTGATGTACAGTTTGTTACTTTCTACCATAGGGGGCAGCATTCCACATGGAAAGAGAAAGGGTTCTTGGAAACAAGACAGATCAAGAGTAAAATCTTTTGTTATTTATGGTGTGGATGGGAGCTGCACAGGTTTGTGCCAGATGGGGTCCCAGTGCTGAGAGGAACAAGCCCCACCCCTAACCTAGAAGCTATCTGCAATGGATAGCCACGTGCAAAAGAAAACTTCATTTTCTCCAACAGAGTCTCTCTGGGGAAACAAAGTGCTCCTAGGGGAGGGTCCCCGCACAAACTCAGTGTTATCTTTGCAGGTTGTCTCACGAGGCTTTGTCAAGGCATACCTTTTTCTTTTTCATCTTACAGATCTCATATATATGTTCATTCTGTTTTTATGGGATCCCTGTGTGTATGAACATGTGTTTCTGCGTCTGTATGCTTGGGTTCTTTTTCTTCTTCTTTTTGTCTGTTTTGTCCTATTCTGGTTCATTTGTTTTTGTTTGATTGTGTTTTCTTTTATTATTTTTCTTTAGATTCCTGTTTGTTTTCTATGGAGAGTCAGAAAGGGTGTGTATTCAGATGGGAAAGGAGGTGAGAGAGCTCTTGGAGAGTTGGGAAGGGGAAGCATAGTCAGAATATATTGCATGAAAAACATCTGCTCTCAAAAGAAGAAAAATAGAAAAGATCTAAACATGGGGGAAAAGAACCTAAAAACAAGCATTGTGCAGGGTGAACCACTGGGCTCTCTATAACCAATAGCCTTGACTTTTGGTATTAGGGCAGCCTGGAATTTCCAATCTATACTGTTTATTGCTGTTAAGTTTCAAACCCAGGACAACTGGCTGAGGTATCTACTTAACACATCAAAGCTGGACCTGGTCCCGAAGTTCTCCCAGCATCCCTCAGTCCCTACCTGTCACCCTTCCATATAGAACCCACACAGTTTAGTCTCCTGCTCTTTTGTGTTTCTGGCCTCCTGGCTGTTGTGCCTGGTTCCCCTCTCCTCACCTCTCCACACACGGCCCGGCTCAGTCTGGTCATGTCCACTCTGGACTGCCCCTGCCCTGCTCTACCTATGCTCTCCCTTTTATTACAATACACTTTCTCCTCCACCGCACCTAGGAGCAGTCACACCCTTTCTTCTCTTTATCTCTTTTTGTCACTCAACTGTACATTCCCACAAGAACAAAACTTAAAGACACGAGAAGACACAGCATTCTGGTAAAGAACAGAGACTGTGCCTACAACTAAGTTCATCCAAATGGGTCTGTTCATCAGCAGGGCAGAAAACACCTCAAAAGACTGTCTGTCTCAGAAACTTTAAGAAACAGTACAAAGTCTACTCAACACACTGGCTGGTCCAGTGGGCCCTTGGACACTGTTTACACTCACCGTTTAAGGTACCCACTTCACTGCAAAAAAATGCTGTCTATGTCTACACTTAAAAAAAGGAAACCTTCAATGACTAGGGGTAGGAAATTATCTTAATAGTTTCCCTTTCATTCTGAGAATAAACCAATGCAACAGAGAATCTAACATTTCTTTTCATTAATGTAGAAATGATGCAGGAATGGCACCTAATCTAGCTGCCTTCGGGTTGTTTAGAGACTGCCACAAAGGATACTTCAAAAGCATACTGAGGAAGAACTGAGGAAACCTAATTCTCTATTAATATTTCAAAGGGGGTGATGTTTTCTTTCTTTCTAAGACCAAGTCTTGCTCTACAGTCTACCCCAGACTCACGCTCTCTCGCTAGAGAGCTCAGGCTGGCCTCCTGCCTCAAGTGTTGAGACTGTTGATGTATATGCCACCCGACTCCTAAAGGAGGGTTCTTTATTTCGTGCCTCCACTCTGCTCAAAGGTCAAATGTTTAGGTTTGAGTGAAACTGAAGTCCAGGATACTGAGTTTCTTTTTTCTTTTTCTATAAAGACCAGGGATTCAAAATAAAGCAAAATAAAGTACTGAGTTATTATAAATTTCTCCTTATTTCCCTTATTAATAGATTAGACACGTGATGCCTTCTCAATACAGCAAGGTAACTTTTAAAATGTCTTTAAAGCCCGTAACAAGGTCTTGCTATCTTGACTCATGGTCTTCCTGTCCAGAGTGAGGGAGTTTTCTGAAGCTGTTTCAGAAATGACGACAGTGGTCAAAATCTAGTCAGTCCAGACCCAAATCCTTCATCTAGGCATGGAAACAGTTGAATAAAAGAAAACCACTACTGAATGCCATTTCCTTCCTCAGTCACACTGACAGCTCAATAAAATAACCTGTGACTAAGCTACAAGAATTAGAGATAGTAACAAATTAAAACAAAACTAATTCAGCAAATCAAATTTATGCCAAATGTATCAGATACTTCATTCCAAGTCAAACTATATTGAAATACATGCTATTAAACTTGTAACTATTTATAAACAAAATCCACAAATTCTTTGTTAAGTTTAAGAAACAGCAAATGAATAAAAGGAAATCTACGATGGATGGTGTTTGTTTTTATGTCTGTAGTACATGTGAGCTATTACTCAGAGTCAAGCCCCACAACAGCTTAACCCTTAAAGCTGTCCTGCATGGCCATCCATGAGTCCCAGCTCATTTTTGAATAGTGAAACAAAACAATTTTCAGTGATTCCTAGTAACTCACACATCAGAGTAACTCTGGTTAGAAACACAGCCTGTGAATACATTAGCTATTTGTAAATAAAAAGACTCCATTACGTCATTTACACACATCACATTTCATGACAACCCTGCACATTCACACAAACCACTTTATTTTAGCAGCAGATCTGAAGCTGGCAATTGTTTGCAGTAAGCAAGACCAGTTTCCCCTATTTCACAGTCAGGCTGCCCTCCTATTAGTACTTCTATTTACAGCACTGTGAATGCCTTTAACAAACGAAAACTTACTTAATCAAGTTGTCACACACGAAGATAGTAAGCAACCTTACAAAGACTTACACCCGAAACAGCGATGTAGTGGGTCAGGTGAAAGGATACTCACTTTTGTTGTCTTTGTATAGAATGGGGAAGAAAGCTGGTGAATGGGCAGGTCCACGATACTACTACAGTTTGTGACATTGCTATTGTGTGTATGTTCATCTTCTCTGCTACTATCATCAGACTGGTCAAAGTCATCACTCTCCTGGTCCATCTCCTCCTCCTCCTCTTCCTCCTCCTCCTCCTGTTCCCCAGCATGCTCTTCATCTTCCTCTTGCTCTTCTTGGTTTCCCGAAGAGTCCTCATCTACTGAGATAAAGCGGTTATTGTTTTCTTCCACGTGTCCTTGCTGGGAATCGCTCTGGTCTCCAGGCCTCGGGTCTGCCCCCACAAGTTCACCATTCCGTGAAGTGTGCTCCTCCTCTTGATAGCTCAGCTGCTGCTGCTCCTCCTCCTCCACCACGCGATTCATCTGCTCCTCGTCTACCTGGCTTGAAGAAGCATTCCCTCTCAGAGAGCCTCCAGTTCGTCGTCTTTTGCTGCCCACAGAGAGCAGTTCCTGATTCATTTCCAAAAGCCAGCTTGCTACTTCTTGAACCTTGGCTAGACTATCAGAAGATGCAAAGGTTTTCACATTCTGTAGGAGGAAATGGGAGATAAAGAAGATTTGTACAATCTATATTGTCGTCTACTTTTAAGTCATATGCTTATCATCTAAGTAACAAAGACTGTGGAAAACATTCACACGCTCTTTAAATTAAGTAAGCTATAAAACTTCTAAAAATGCATACCTTTAGCAACCTTTTAGATATACCTCTAAAAGCTTGATAGTTTAGTTGTCTTGATCAGTATGACATAACTTAGCCAATAAAACAATTTTAAATCTTAAATCATTAATTGTGAAATCATAGCCTGGATAAACTATTCACTAAATAGTAAACAAAAAGAAAACACCCATCAGGTGCCCAACTGGGTTCAGGAGATCCTGCAGTAAAACCTCTTCAAGAAAGCTTTATTTTCCTGGCAACTCCCCAAGCTTCTCCAACCACAAAATCCTGCCTTCAGGTAAGAAGCACAATCTCTGTGATTTTTATCTCCCACAATGAATATAAACCAACAGAACAACAAATTTAAAAATTGCAATTAAGAACACAAAAGCAAAAAGTTCTTAAGTTCATAACCTCTGACTCAGTAACTCCACTTCTGGCAATCTATCCTAAGGAAGTAATCGTAAAACAGGAAAGGAAAAAAATTATACCGAAGATGCTCACTGGTGCAGACTGGGGCTAAGGGAGAGGGAGCGGGATGGAAATAAAATCCAGATGTTTAAGATAAAAGAATTTGTATCCAAGACATGATACATTTAAAAAGCTTGATGAAGACTGGGTTTTTATGTACTACGCTAAGGAAAAACTTACATGAAAAGCACATGACTACAGTGTAATTACTAGATTGCGTAAGGACTACATGGTAGTATTTCAAAACACTTGCATCTTCAGCAATGGCATTATTGATGCTTTAGACTTATTTCTCAAATTTTACACATTATGTTTTCTTTTGTTTCTTAGCATAGGTTCTAATATTTCTTATTACATTTTCAATGAGTTCATTATACAGCACATTCTTTGCTGGTATTTGATAAAGTTCAAGTTTACTAATATAATTTCACATTACACACATTAAAAAACCCTAGAACCTGAACTTTGAAATTTTCATACAGAAATTAAGCTGTCAAAAATGCATTATTATTTTACAAACTAATTCTGAACATCTTAGAGAAAGCTTTGCATGTATCAGAACACTCATATAAAATCCAAACATGAAAGAACAGTATTTTAATGTATTTAGATTGAAAATTTCAAAAGTTTAAAATTTTAAAATGTTCTATTTCACACCAACAGAAGTATACAATATTTATATATTCAAATAAAGATCTTATGTTTTCATCAATATCTAATGAGAATTAGCTGGTGTTCAGAAAAATGAAGTCTGTGTAATATATTTTTACACTGTACAAATTATCAAATACTGCACTATTCCCTTGACAACTGGACATGACAAGGATGTAAACAATGCTGACAAAACCTCACAACTGTCAATCTGGAAATGTCCGTAACTAAACAGACAACTGAGGCTCAGTCCAGGCAATGCAGTGCTCACAGATCGCCAATCCAGAACCAATGCAGTGCTCACAGATCGCCAATCCAGAACCAATGCAGGGCTCACAGATCGCCAATCCAGAACCAATGCAGGGCTCACAGGTCGCCAATTCAGAACCAATGCAGGGCTCACAGATCACCAATCCAGAACCAATGCAGGGCTCACAGGTCGCCAATCCAGAACCAATGCAGGGCTCACAGATCGCCAATTCAGAACCAATGCAGGGCTCACAGATCGCCAATCCAGAACCAATGCAGGGCTCACAGATCGCCAATTAAGAACCAATGCAGGGCTCACAGATTACTAATCCATTTCAGACCCACATTAGTGTCCCGGAGGGAAGTACTTACAATTATTTCTTCACCTAATCCCAAGTACTACCAAGAATAAATTATACAACGAAACCTAAGACATGTCTCTGCATGTGCCAAGCGTGTCATTCAGCAGTTTTTGATTATAGAACCCACAGTAAAGTAAGATTTCACATTACAAGGCCACAAGGAAATAGTAAACATGCCTGAAACAGCAGTTTCAAATGGAGTGAAGATAATAAAATTTTCACAATCCCTAAAGCCTCTCTAGGTCACCACTGTTAATTAAATAGTTAATTTTCTTTGTGGTCATCATGTCTGATGAAGTTGCTTTAGTCACTGAGTTAGTAAATCCTGAGGATTTCCTGGGGAAAATGGTTCCGATCAGCCTCTGGATCTCAACACTATCTATCATCTACTGGTCGACTCAGAACTACACTTCTGATTAAAGGCACCTTATTTAATGCAGATTATGAACTCAGCATTGAACTCATGCCCAACTAGTATAACTCCTATCTGAATGAGGCTTGTCTAAGACGCATTATTTTCTCCATAAGGTAGTGTCACAGCTTTCTCAATCATTAGAGGGTCATTTGGTTATGAGTGGGGTCAATTTAAACAGCACGATCAACAAAAGAAACAAAAATAAGGAATGTGTTAGCACAGACCAGGAAAAGGACACTTGTTTATGGCACGGAGCTGAAACAAGCAGGTGAAGCACTGTCCTACTGACAGATGCATGCCAGCTGGGTCCACAAACGGCTGACAAGAAGCCACAGGTAGGCTGTTAGGGGTCAGTGCTCTACAAACATGAGGATCTGAGATCAAATCTCCAGCACTCAAGTAAAACCCCAACATGTAAGTGCAAGCAGGGGTGTAACAGGCAGATGCCAGGCGTTTGACAGCCTGCCAGTCTAGAGGAAACTGTAAGCTCCAGGTAACTGAGAGACCCTGTTAGAAATACGTTGGAGAGCAAGACAGGAAGACACCCAACATCAAGTTCTACATGGCATGAACACCCCCATATACATATTCTCTCACTAGCCCACTAAAACCAGTAACAAGCCCCTACACCAAGTGCTCCCTCTCTGTCTTGCCTTTCCTCATAGCACTAAACACATAGAAGCACTAGAATGACCCCTGCTGTGGAGGATGGACCTGTGTGTCCATCCACACATTCATATGCATGGCCTTCCCCCACTAGCCCTGAGGCTTTATCAGGGAGAAGCTGTCCTTTTCACTGAGGTCGTCCCAGCACGAGGGTATGACGCCTCACTATGTGCTCAGAGTATTTGCTAACTTCAGAATCTCGGTTCTCTTCCTGTTTAACAGAGCGGACAGGTCATGTACCTGAACTTAATTTAGCAGCATCACCAGTTATGTCTACCATGTGCCTCAATCACTCTTTTCCACTCGCTGAGTCATTGCAAGAACCTTAAATGTCAATACCTTGATGGCAAATTACAAACATTTATATGTTTAACTTTGCCCCACAAGGGAAAGCAAATACCAGTATGAAGAAGCTGGGAGCTGGGAAGACAGTGTAGTTGGTACACTGCTTATGGTGGAAGCGTCAGACCTCCGTTTCCTTTTTCCTGTGAAAACTTGAATGTGGAGGAGGCCAGGACAGAGAAATTCCTGGACTTACAGGCCAGCCAGTCTAACCAACGAGGGGGTCAGAAGAAAAAAAAACTGCTTGGGTCTGCTTACCGCAAGCCCAGCTCCAAACTAATAGGAAAAGAACCACGGCCTAGAACTTAATCTCACAGGAATATAACCACCATGAAAAGAACCACAGCCTAGAACTTTTCAAAGCTCATTGCTTAGTATAAACAAGTTTGGATATGCAACCTAAATTTTTAAAAGATAATTTAAAACAACGGAAGTCAGGCATTTTGCAATGTCAAATCCTAAGAATTCCAATTTTTGAATTTGCAAAACACAAAAAGGATATAATTACCTTATAAAGTCATGCAATATCTTTTATGAATCTACTCTGCATATCCTCTAGCATAGGAAGAAACAGGGCTGTGAGGTAAATGACTACAGACAATGTGAACAAATCTCTAATCTAGAAATACTTTCTTCTTCCAGAAGACAAGACAAAAAAAGGAAAATATTCATTTTTGTTGTTGCATTTTAAAAAGCAATATATGATCATTTTTAGAAAAAGAATTAAAGAAAAAGAAAAGAGAACTAACTTTATAATAATCAGATTAACTCTGTATTAATTCACAAACTGTCATACAGAAACTCATAGAGTTGACACAAGGACAATGGGGTAAAGCCAGTCACTCGCTGTGCTACAGTGAGACTGGAGAAACGCCAATGCCTAAGTACTACAGCTTAGCTAAGAAAACATCTTCCTACACTACTAGAAATGAGCAAGCAGGAATGAATGAAACTGTTGGCGCACCCCGAGTACAGCATCCTGCATCCCAAATGCAAGTCTGCCTCGAGGAAGATGCACATTAAAGTTTCCTGCCAATCCATCACCACCATCACCACTGTCCTGATCAAAGCAGAAAAGAGTATGAACAGATGAAAACACTTATCAGCTAAGGAAAAATCTTAATTTAATAGGAGAAACTGCTTGCCTAGTATACACAGGTATGTGTGTTGGCTAGTCCATTTCTGAATCTGCAGCTAAGTTTTGGCTTCATTTTCTACATATACAACTAAGGGTGGGAATAGAGTGGTCTCTGAATCAGAGTTCTGTCACACAAACAAAATGTTGACTGAGTATGAGCTGTATTCCAAGCATTGCACTGTTTTATATAAACTATTTCAATATTCAAAAGAACCCTACTAATAAGCAGTACAAAATAGAACCAAACCTCACTAAATGAAATTATCTAGGTCATAAGCATGTGTTACTCTTGTAGAGAACCCAGGTTGTTCCCAGCGTCCACATGCAGCTCATAAGTTTGCCTAAGTATTTATTTCCTTTATTCTACTACCTTGTGGTGTGGGAGAATCGTCTGTATTCTGTCAATCATGTTTTAAATAAATGCTGATTGGCCAGGCAGGAAGTATAGGTGGGAAAACCAGACAGGAAGTAGAGGTGGAGCAAAGAGAACAGGAGTATTCTGGGAAGCAGGAAGCTCCTTCTGCAACTCCTGCCCCGACTCAGAAGAGGCAAGATGTGAGCTGCCCATATGGCTAA